GGCAATAACTACATTGAGAAGATTTGTCATTGACTGAATATTAGTTACATTTTATGGCAATTCTCCATAAAAACAAAGAAGAAAGATTGACCATATCCATATGTATTATTTACTTTCCGTATAAAGAGTTAAATTCTAGAATTCAAAAGTTGAATTGAATTCTTATGTATTACCAATTTTGAAGTTGAAGAGATATCGTAACGGGTGCAAAATAATATATAAAGGTGTAACCACACACAATTGACGAATATAACAAAATCTGAATATTAAAGAGGGGTCATGGCTTCTTCTTCTTCCTCTTACGGTTTTGCCCTTGTTTCTTTGGTACTTGTGTTACAATTTCTTTTAACATCTGCCTCCACACAATACATCGACGCCATTTGCAAACACGTCTCCGACAAAGCCTTCTGCCTCCAAACTTTGAACAAATTTCCTCCGGCTGTTTCTGCCACCACCACGGTACATATCTAACGGTTTTAGTTTCTGATGAATCATCTATTAAAGTTTCCCATTCTCAATCATAGGTTATTATCATTTGAATTTGTAGTTACAAGCGGCTGAAGCCGTGCTCCATCTAGGTATATCCTATGCCGCTAAATGTGCGGCTGCCAGTGCAAAAGCGGCAACGGAGAATCCAAACTTGAAGAATCAGTTCGAGAGGTGCCAAGGTGAATTTGCGACCATTGTATCCAATCTCAAGAGCGCCATCCCGATACTCAAGGAAGACCCATCGAGTGCAAGCTATCAGCCCTTTATCTCTGCCGACAGCACCGCCACAGTGAAAAATTTGGTCGGAAAATATAGCGACAGGGATTCAAAGAATCTGATTATCATGACATCGATTATGGATAAATTTCTTTATATCGATTTAGAAGCCATCATAGCTATTGGCTGGTAAAGAAGACGATGATACCATCATCAGATTTGCTATTTTTGGTTTATTTTGGTCAATTGTTATGGTGATTTAATTCTACCCGATATACTGTTTGGTTTCTTATGATAGTGAATAATTCCATATATTCAAAAATTTATTCGAGACCCATCTCTTTATTGTTTGAGTGTTTGTGTAAAAAGACATAAAAAAACTATATGAACTAAAAAAAAAGTTTTAGGGAATTGAGCCAAATTTAAGTTTTAGGGGAAAAAACATGTTATTCACGTGGTAGAAGACCACAAGAGTTAAAATCATTTGATACAAGACAATTATATAAATAAAAAAATTCATGAATTTTTCTATTAGTTTTCTCTAGTTTTTTGTTGTATAAAAAATACGAACAGTTGTACTTTATTTAACTTTATATAAATAAATTTTTTAACTTTATACTAGTTATACCAATAAAAAGTTCAATTTATTTAAATTGTATACATAACACAATTTAGTATTAACAAAGTCATCATACAATTATACAATGTTTTATGTGAAAAGTATAATATGGTAAATATTCATGTTTGTTTTGAAACTAAATGTTATAATTCATGTTTAATTGTCTTTTCTTTTGGTCGAAATGTTTAATTGTTTATCTTAAAAGTTATACATGTATTTTTTTGTTTATTCGATCATAGTAATACAAGTACTTTAAAACACACAAACATAGTTTCAAAAAGATCGATCATAGTAATACCAATTTTACGAAACAAAGAGTCTAAAACAGTTAAAACACAAATACATACTCAATTTGATATTTGCAATACCATTATGAGGACCAATTGTATTTCACAGAATCAGCATTGAGGGATTCCAGGATACACTCTATGCGCTAGCCATCAGTTCTTCAAAGAATGCAATATATACGGAACGGTGGACTTCATCTGCGGTTACGCAGCGGTTATCTTCCAGGACTGTCAGATATTCGCACGGAGACCGCTCGGCGGAGTCAACACAATAACAGCGGAGAACCGAGTCAACACGGATCATACGGGTGGGATCGTCATACATAACTCGGTGGTGAAAGGAGATCCGAAGGCACGGCTCGGAGGCATGAAAACGTATCTCGGTCGTCGGTGGTCACTGTACGCACAAATGGTGGTGATGAAGACGCAACTTGGTCAATTGGTCGATCCCAAAGGATGGCTTCACCCGGTCACCCGGTTCGGGTACAGAGAACCGGGTAAAGTGGCCTGGGTTTCACGTGATATCGGATGTACATGAAGCTCGTCAGTTCACGGTACCCAATTTCATCGACGGTGCTTCTTGGTTGCCAGAAACCGGAGTGCCGTTCTCCGTTGATCTCTAAAACTTTGGTATAAAACCAAATAAAAATTTGTAACATGAGACTCCAATCAGATGTCGGTGGTTTACATTACAACTTTAACCACTTGTTTTTGTTTACCCGATTGATTATTTCAAGCTCTCAAATTTGCATTGCATTCAAAGCCTAAGGAACGTCAATTCCAACAACGAATTGCATTACGTTGACTGACTGAAGATGATGATTCCCAATTTTCATTATTCTCTTTTGCACCACAAATCTCTCTCTATGCATTAACAAATAAACAAAACACAATCCAGACTCACTGTAATTTGTTGAATCCAGCCAGAGTTCTCTCGCGGAACCAGACGTCATCGCCACAAGATCCAAGTCGTCACCGTGAGATCGATCAACAATAGCCTCACCGCGGATTCAAACTACCACCGGCTTCACCTACGCCGCCGATCTTAAGTGATGAGCTTGATGGGAATTCGAGAACCAGTCTCTGCAATTTGGTCACTCATCGTTTCGAATCTTACTAGAGAGCTCAAGCTAGATTCTTGGCAATAAAAAGGTAATTTATTTCAATCTCTTTTGTTGATTTCGATAGCTGAAATATGTGTGTTTAGATGAAAGTTTGATTAGTTGTGATTTCATAGACTGAAAATTCATTTGAGTCTTTGTTCTGAGCAATTGATAGGCTTAGAGAAATTAATCGGACTATTTGAATTTTTTCTACAAAGTAAAAAATTTGAGCCATCTCTTCTTTGGCTACTCCGGCGATCTTCTTCTTTGGCAATTAATGGTGGTTTATAATCGAACTGTTAAATGTTTCTTTTTACACAAAGAGTGTCCATTGCACTTGACTTCATCTAACTTCACTTCCGTGTGCTCAAACAATACCAAAAGAGCCAAATGTTGCCGCTAGATCTAGTAGAGTAAAACGTATATTAGTCATCTTTGCATCCTCCCGATCCTCCGGATTCTCGAACCGGTTTGATCTCTTGCTCTAGTTTACGGCTGCTCTCAACGGTTATCCCTCGCATCTATCACCATCATTCCTCCGGACAATCTGCTTCGGCGTTGATGCCCACCTCCTGGATCCGGGTTTGCTTTTTGTTTTGATAAGATTCCTCCTAAACGGCGATGACAACCTTTCTCATGACCAGTGCCCTAGCATCCTCATGGGCTTCGTTGGGCCAAAGCTATTGGAAAATTTTGACAAATCTTGTTATTGGGCTTGGCCCATTACGCCTTCAAAGATACTCTCTGTTGAGTGTGGCTCATATTTTAGAATTTCAAAGACATTATCGGCTTTTGAGTTTGATGATGATTTCTCTTCCACAAGAAGAATCAAGTTTTCTGGATTCTCTAATCCTGTAAATCTCTCCTTTTTGGAGAAATTTATTCCATACTCTTGCTCATTCGGGAAGAGCACAATTCCACCATTTCTTCTCTCATTGAAAGTAAGATCATTCTCGGCACCAAACCGAGTTATTCCCTAACCGATTTGTATTCTTGTGTAGAGGTCTCTACGGGGCAAGAAGATGGAACCAGTTTCCTCAAGACGAAACTTGGAGGTACGGGTAATCTTTCAACATCACTGTTCAAAGTGACTAAATCTCTGTTTTCCGGCCTAGCCGTGAATTTTATACCGACGCATCCGGAATGTTTCTTAGATTCGCTGTCGTATATCTATGTTAATTCTTCTGCTTTAGATTTTAATGATTTCATGTATTGTAGTATGACTCTATGTAACTTCGAAAGTTAAGTAATGAAACAAATGTTGCAC